GTCGTAAAAGAAAAAGAAAGTGGGAAATACACTCCTCTGCCCTAAGTTCTAAGAACAGGCTTCTAATAATCACTTAAATAAATATGGATCAGGTTTTAAATAATATGGTGAACACCAACCCAATGTTAAAAACTGTCAGGAACTACCCACAAACAGAACCCAGATCTCCTAAAGTTATGCTTGGCTCACACAGTTGTTCACTTTGTTTTTGCTTAAATTGAATGTTATTAGGCAAAGTAGGCAACAGTCAGTTGACTTCCATTCTTTTACCCTCCCCTCTTTCCTCAACATATAACATAAATAAGTTATGCCGCTGGTCTCTGAAGGCACTTGAGCTTGACACCAGCTGTATCCTGACAAGGCACCCTGAAATAACTCCATCAGGGACTAAGTTTATCTTCAAGGTCATATGAACTATGTGATTTCAGGAGTCCCTCCGATCTCTCTCCCCTCTCTCTCCCCCGCTCTAACCCCAAACTCCTTTAACCAGGGATGTCATTTATCACATAATTGGCAAAATTAATTACAGCCTTGGAAAACCATGACTGCAGGTACTTATGCTCTTTACGGAAAGTATAGGTGGACTAGGAGTTGAGACCTAGGTTCTAGTCCTTGTATTCCAAATATCTCACAGCATAACCTAGAAACAATATTTTTATATCTCTGGAGTTGAATTTCTTTCCTGTCTATAAAACGAGCAGGTGTCAATTAGAAATCTCTTCAATCTCTTCTATATCTGTAGAAACATATTTAAGTTGAAATAAGCTCTTTCAGCAACTATAGATTCTTCGTGCTTTGGCTGGGGTATAGGAAGGCAGGAGAATGTGCTAGGGAAACAGGATGACTTGGCAACTGAAAGGAAAAGAAAAAGAAACAGAGAAAGGCATGATGCAGAAGAGGCTAAAAAGGCTGAAGACAATGAAAATAAAATTTCCCGTTTTACTTATGGTTGGTCCTACTAACTTTCCCCTCAGTGTGGGAAAACAAAAACTATGGAGATGTTACTATTTCATGAGATAGAGTGAAAATATTCTGTCAACTTTTATTTTTAAATATGGCAAACTCTGCTTTATTAGAGTTTTGTTATCGGTTTTACATTAATTTGAGTATCACTGTACTGTCTAAAAACTTCTTAATTTTATTTGTTCCTTAAAGGAGATTTGAACCAGTGCGAATGGTAAAAGCAAAATAAAAATTTCTACAAGTCAATAGCAATAAAGTCCTCAAACAGCTACAGCCAAGGATGGATGTAGGAAGAAGTGTTCCCTAAGTCGCAGATGGCGTTTTGAAACACAAAACAAATAAATAAGGCTAAGAGCAGGTTATAAAGGGCTTTGAAAGCAAGGTTCAAGGTCATTGTCCACCTTATCCTGTGGACAATGAAAAACCTAAGAGGTTTTAAAACACATCAAGTGATTTGATCAAACCTGTGTTTTTGAACAATAACTCTGATAACAGAGTACATACAATACTTACAAAACAGCATAAAATTATTATGTAGGCTGATATTTTACTACAAAACATGAACATGAAATTAGAATAAGACACTACTCACAAAACCATAAAATAAATTTCACAAATGCTACAGTATTCTTAATTTCATAGTGAGGTATGCCTTGCAAATTCCTTAAGGGGGTAAATAATCACTTAAACTTTAAAATCTTTTTAAAAAAGGCTTCATACTACAAGTGCATACCTTTTTCAAATAAAATTAACACTTTAAATAATATTTGTGGGCTTTAAGGCCACAGAATTTAAAAATATTTACCTAACCATTTAGAAAGCACTTAGCATTTTAGGTATAGAGAAATATCTCACACACTAACTTATGACTTTCAAAACCTCGTATTTACCTAGTCTATCACACACAAAATGATCTGGTTGAAAAGCTGAAAACTATGTTATAGAATATACAATTAAAATGGTATACAAATGTAGTTTGTTAAATTCTGGTCAAAGTTTCTATGTAGACAACTGATTTTTTTTTTTAACTTCCTATTAGTTTCAGCTGACTTCTGGCAAATATACTATGAACTTAAGTGCTTCTTTCCATTAACCCACCAAGGCAGAACACAGTCAGCAGTAACTAGGTTTAAACTTTAAATCTCTAAATGTCTGGCTAAAAACAAACAAAAAAACCTTAGTTAAGAATTGACACATATATAGCATTTACACCAAATACTATAACTCTAGTTATGAAAATCAAATTTTTACAAACATGCCTTTATTTTCAACACAGTACTTAACATAACATCCCAAAAGTTTAAAATTATTTTAAATCTACTCTCAACACAATTAAAAACATTTATATTGATGTTTTCAATTATTTTTCAAAGAAGTTTATAAAATTCTTAAGGAAATGAAAGTATAATAATAATAATTTTTGTTATCAATCCACATATAAAGTTCTCTATTCAATAAATACGGAATATTTGTTCATCTTTTCCAATCATTACACCTCAGAAAATACAAGTTAGCAATATCAACATTCACTATTTAAGTAAAACTTCAAAAACTGCTAATTTGTGACGTTTTAGAGTTTTACTTATACTTTTATTTATACCTTACAGAAAGTATAAATTAACTAAAAGAAATGAATTGTAGAATTCAAAGGTATTAGAGAATTCATCTAATGGGATCCCTGGTGTGACAGGATGCTAAGACTCAGAAAGATTCACTGACTTTTCCAAGATACACAGTAGCGCCAAGACTTTACTCTCAATCCTCTGCCTATGAATCCAGGGCATTTTCCCCTATATCAGGTTCCACTCAAAATCCTTCTGTCTTCCTTCACTTTCTGAAACAGTGAAGTGACTTTACACTTGTCATATACAAAGTTTAAAACTTTGAAAATTAGAAAGTCTGTTATCTTTTACTTCCATAAAAGCTCTGGTTTCCTCTTAATTTCTTTAACATAATCTACACCCAAACAAAACACCAGACCCACTGTTAAGCTTCAGGAACAAATGTAAGTACAAATTCTTATTATTACAATCTCTGCTAAATTAAAAATATCTAGTAATTTCTAGTAACCCCAAAATAGTATTATTTAATGAACATTATGTAACAATGTATAAAACCTTGAGCTATCAGCATATATTTAAGACTCCAAAAATGTTCCTTTTCATATTGGAATGTGAATAAGAGTTTTCTGCCATAAGATAATATGCCCTTTTGAAAAGCACAAATCATATCTTTCTCTAATACAAACAAATAAATGAAGCTACCTAGCATAACAACATGCACCTAATTAAAGGTTGAAAAAAGTTGCTGCGATGGAAAAAGCACCAGACTAGGATTAAGAAAACCATGAATTTTCTATTTACAAGAGAACCGCCATAATTGACTACACCAACAGATTACAATTAGAATACGTTAAACCGTAATGCTGTTAAATTCAGGGAAATTATCTACAAATGTGACGAGACTACACTAAAACACTTTTCTGGTGTTAAAAAATGCAATCTATTCAGTCAACTATCAAATGCTATGGAAACAGTTGATATCACTTCTCTCTACAGTTAATCTTCTCACAACAATTTTTCTCTTGATACACACTTTCCTACACACTGTCTATTATCACTGGCAGTAAACTGAGAAAACAAAAGGTGTAATAACCGTTTTTTGAACATTGTTTTCAAGCATTTGGCTGAGTAACTAACAGACCACAAAGCGGCCTCTGAAAACACTTTTCAAGAAGCAAAGTGTGGTCTCATTGGACTCCTAGTTATCGGTGTTAACACATCATAAATTCAGTGTAGTTTGTAGATTATTTTGAAGAGAAAAGAGCATCAGATGTAGTAAGAATAAGAATTTTTTGTTTCAGATATACTGGGTCCCAGTGCAAAACATATCAATAATCAAAAAGTCTGAAAACCAATGGTATAAACTTCTACTGTCCTACGTAAAACCTCTATACTCATCCTTTTAGTTGCTTAGAACACTGAAAACTGAAGAGTGAGTCTAGGTTCAAATCCCAGCATTGCCACTTATTAAATGTGTGAAGTTGAGTAATCTGTAAGCCTCAATTTGCTCATCTCTAAATTGAAGTGATGTCACCCACCATCCAGGGCTCTTGGAGGGATTTAAGACAATATATGTAAAGCATTTTGCACTTAGTAAATGCTCAATGAATAGTAGCTACACTTGCTGAGTTTCTTGGTGCTGTAGAACTGGTAAGATTTCCCTAGGCTCTATAAAGACAGTAGCTCATTCCCTGATGATGATTTCAGTTCCTTTAAAAAACAAACACATGAAAACATGTAAACATCCAGAAAAAAAAATTGGAAATGATTTTGGCGTCTTTCCACACATTACTAAGTTTAAAGGTTAAATTGTTACGACATTCTCCTAATTATGTAACAAATACACACGATAAGTTTAGTCTATAAAAGATTATGTTAGCCTATACTGCTGACATTTGGGGTGAGGAGAAACATCGTAAAAATTATTTCCAACAGTCTTTTCATCTAAAGTAACAAGTCTCAGTTCCAAAGCCCATCAGGGTTCATCTTAAGATCTCCAATTCTTCCTTTCAAACATCAAGAATAATGAAACCACACTGATTAAAATTCATACCTATGTACATTCACTCATTCTAATAGCTATGTTATCTTTAGGGAGATAGCACTATTATAACAGCAACAGATAAACGGCACCAAAAAGATGTACCTCCGAGTATGCCAAAGTGGGAGCAGTCAATCTAGTAGACCGCAAATAATTCACTTCATTCTTCAGACAATTCATGTATTGCATAAACAAACACTTTAAAAAGTGCAGTATGATCAGTCTGCTACTTCATTTCTACTCCAAGATAAAAGGTACTACTACTTCAACGCTTTTAAAAAGTTTCCTGTACTTTAGGAATCCCTTCCAGAACAAAACTTTCTTGTTTCACCCTGAAAAGTTAACCGACTTGCAAACACACCAGTGCAATTCGGGAACTGAAGCGATAAAACCACACACATTTCCTTAGCAAACCTTGCTTTCGGCTAACATACCTGTTCCCTGGAAATGCAAGGCAACGAAGGTCTCCGGAACATTTTGCAACTGCCATAGTAACCGGCCGAAGTTTCTCCGAACGACACGCAGCTGGACCTCCTCCGGGGTCTGACCACAGGCACTTTTTCTTCCGCGGCACTGGACAGCCGAGGATGATGAGGAGCCTCCCTGATGTGAAAGAAGTGATCCAACACCAGGGCTAGCAGGCAGCCAGCGCCCCCGACCAGGCAGGACAGCAGCGGCCGGAGGGCTGAGGGCAGCGACCCGAGGCTGGTGACGGAGACCCACCAGACGAAGCAGGAGAACAGCAGCACCAGGATGCTGTGCCGGAGCCTCACCGGGTGCGCGAGCGTCAGCAAGCCCACGCAGCTCAGCACCAAGAACAACCTGCCCGCCGCCGCCGCCGGGGGCGTGTGCGGGGCCGGGACCTCGGCGTCTCCGTCTCCCCAAGGCCAAGACCACCACGGCCACACCAACACGTCCCCCAGGTAACAGCAGGCGGGCAGCGCCAGCAGCCACCAGGAGCCGCCGCCGCCGCTCCGGCCCGGCCCGGGGCCCCGCTTGGTCCGGGTCAGGAAGCAGGTGAGGAAGAAGAAGGCACAGGCGATGCTGAAGAGGGGGCTGAGGCTGAGCGAGCAGACGCTCAGCACGGTCCGCAGCCGGGCGGCCCCGGCAGCCCAGCTCTCGGGCCCCGCGCCCAGCAGCAGGGCGAGGACAAAGGCGGCCAGGGCGCCCAGCGCGAGGCGCGCCCCGGAGCAGCGGGAGCCACGCCGCGGCTGCCGGGGGGAGGCCGGCGGCGGCGGCAGCAGCAGCTCCACGTTGCAGAAGCGACAGAGGTGGAAGAAGAAGCCGCGCGGAGGGTCCTGCCGCAGGGGGCTCACGCAGCCCTTCACGTAGCCGTTCCTCAGGCTCTCGGGGGGCGAGCCGGTCCCGTCCGGCGCCTGCGGGTACCGCATGGCTTTGGCGGCGTCTCGCTCGTCCCTCCTCATGGCCGAGACCGGGGGTGGGTGGCCGCGGGGCTCAGCGCTCCGCGCTCGGACCGCGGCGGCCGCTCCGGCTCCCTCACCCCCCGCCCCCGCGCTCCGGGCTCCCCCCGGCTCCGTCGCGCGTCAGGGCTGCGCC